CAGGGGTCTATAATCTCTCAGTAAAAAAACAGTGTAGATGTAATCCATAGCAACTCAATTTCACAAACACTCCCAGCATTTACTGGCCTGGTATCTAATTGATTATGCAAACATTTTGTCCCCAGCACTTACTGTATATCTACTACATAAGTGACATGATAAAATGAAAAATGATTGTGTGTCCTAGTGGAGCAGAGAGGAAGGAACGTATTCTTGGAGTGAATGGTCATTTCTGAAGAGTTTTTCAAGATCACAGATTTGAGTCCAGATGTTGATTTTTGACTCCAGCTGTTGATGTTTATGTGTGGGTTGAATGAGGTGTGGAGGATGACAAGTACAGAAAACGAGTGTGTGAGGTGTATTAATCAGATGTGCTGAATTTAACTGGTTTTAGGAGCTGCAGGAGATGCTTGAATCGTTCACAGGGAAGATGAGTGCTGTGTGTTTTGTTTGTTTATAGTGCTGTCTCACGGTGAGAGGTGTGATATGGCATGTGTCATGAGCAGCCAGTTTCCGTGGTTACGATGAGAACTTTCACAGCAATTTCCTGAACAGGGACAGCACTGTCAGAGTCACTGCTGTGTGTTTTGTGAGAAATTCTGACTTGTGTTGAATATTATATCCATGTACATCCTCTATTACATCTACTTTTGTCAGATATTAAAATAAAAAAAAATAAAAAAAATTTATAATATATAAAATGATAATTTTTGACCATGAGCTAAAATTTGAAAAGCAAATCAAAACAGTTTCTTTCCTCACATGACCCAAGAAAAGTTGTTCATGCCTTTATTTCATCTGGCTGTTTTCAGGTGCAAAAATGAAGGATCATATTACCCTGATTTTACCTTTGCTTTACCTGCTTCCAGTTCCTTTTAGGATTCAGTATAAGGTTTTATTGTTTGTTTTTAAGCTCTAAATGTTCCAGCTCACTCTTACAGTGCAGAAACACTTCTACTTGTACTGCTTGTAGACACCTTAAGCTCGTATTCACAGTTACTACTGATTGCTGTTTCGAGTTCAAAATATATTTTTATTCTTTAGTATTTGGGAATGGCTGTGTGTATATTCAAGTTTCAAGTTTATTTGTCATATATACAAGTGTCAGTGACAATGTACATTGAAATGCTTTTTGTGAGGCTTAGGCAGTCTACAGCAGTACAATAATAACAGAAATAAATAATAAAGGGGCAAGCAAGACAGAAATTTAAGAGACAGAAATGTAGAATAATGATTAATAATAAGAGATTCACAATACAATACCAAAAAAAAAAAAAAAAAAAAAAAGGTGCATATTGTATGTATATGTATGATTTGTGTGTATAGCAGAACTGGTGGGAGAAAAAATGTACTTTAAAATGTACTTTACTCTGTGTGTGTGTGTGTGTGTGTGTGTGTGTGTGTTTTCAGTTGAGGCTCTTCACCTGGGAACTCTGATGTCTGCACATGGCTATTTCTTTCCCATCTCAGACCACGTGCTCACATTGAAGGATGATGGGACATTTTATAGATTTCAGGTAAAAAGCAGTTAATACTAAATCAAATTACTTCATTATTTAGGGTTTTTTTTTCTTGTTCAAATATAGAAAATCCCTGTCATTTTTGGATCATTTTTGTCTTATGTTCAGGTCACTTATTAATTATTCCTCTGTTATACACACTAGCTATGCTAAAAGCCCGAAATCAGTATTCTTAATATTATAAAATCCATTTTTGCAGAGTCATGTTTTTACTTTATCTTACTTGACCTTTTCTTAAAAGCCACATAAATATATATATCCGGATTTTTTGTAAAGCTGCTGTGTGACAATGTCTGTTGTTAAAAGCACAAAATAAAATTGATTCGAAGTGAATTAAATTCACACAGATTTCTTTTGCACACTGTGAATGCTCTTTTTTGTATCATTAATGATTAAAATACACAAATATATTAGATGACTTCAAAACCGCAACTTTTACACTCTAAATACTCTTTAAAAAAAAAAAAAGCAAAAGAGTTTTATTAAACTTCAGTGAAAACAATATCATCTTAGCAAATGAAAACATCTTAAATATATAGGCAGATTTATCTAGCGTTTCCTATTATAAGACACAGATTACAGCTTAAAGCTTTAAATTGCCTGCCAATAGAATTGTTTTGCTTCTTTCTAGAAATTAAAATTAAAATTTGCAAAATTATCTGTCACTAGAACATACTGTTCAAACTTGAAATTAGAAAAAAAAAATGGTTAGAAATAGGTTTAAAAATCTTATATTTTGTTTACTGTAATCTTATAATAGGTAATTGTCGATAAATTTGACTATATTCAAGGTATTTCTATTTGCTAAGATGTACTTTTTTGCACTGTTTCTAACACTTCAACAAAACAGTATAGTCATTTGGTTAAGATTTTGTGGTATCAGTGTGCCGTCAGTCTCTCACAATTACACTACTAACACACAAATATACAATCTTCCTTCTGAAAAAAATATCCAGTGTCCAAAAGGATGAATGACACAGGTTTAGAGTTTTATTTAGAAAAACATTTGACTGAAGAATTTATTAAACATCTTACAAAAATATTTGTTCACATAAGCTTTTACTGACAGAATACAAAAAAACTGCCCTTAGACTTTCATTATGAGTGAGTTGAACAGGATTAAACAGGTTTTCTGTTCTTTTCTAAGTACACGGTAGCGTCTAAAATTCTGTCCATGGTAATCACACGTACACTGCAGATACAGTACATAAAGATTCTGTTGAAAAATGTAAAATATAAAATTGATTGGTGAGCGTGTGTTGATTTTATTCATTTTTTTAAGTCTCTAAAATTCATCTGTTCATTTTTCTGGCACTTTCTAAAACCGGTGACTAATGTTTCAGTAACTATTTGTTGGTGTAATATTTTGTTTTACTGTCATGCCCCTGAGCCTGAATTGTTACAGTGATGATGATGGAATGGAGCTATTAGGACGTACTTTAAACTTTCCTGTAGTGGCGATTTTTTTTTCTTATTTTTATGATAAATATTGTAATATAAAAAATTTCTCATATAAAAAACGTATCGCACTTCACCACCCACACCGGGCTGAATACATAAATATGTAAATATGTGACTATTTCCAGCTGAATATTTTAGAACTGAATATTTTCTGACTGAAATCATCACCGTGATCTCCAGCGTACACTGTGTAGTGACACTTGCCTCCGTCACACACTTGTGGTGTTAACACTGGGTGTTTTTCTTTAAGTAACTGCACTTTAATGTGACACATCACATGATCGTCTCATTCTCAGCTGTGTGTTTACACCAGCGTCAGTGTGTGAGGGAGACAGCTTGCTTTAATAATCAGGCGTTGGCCTTTCATACAGATTTTTGGCAACATCTGACCTGTTAAGATATTACAGCTGAGATCAGAGGCTTGTTTAATAACGTGATGTTTTCATTTCATTTATGAGGCGACCAGATATTCTTGATGACCTGAGTCACTGACATTTTCTATTCACGTCGTCTGCTAACCACTAACCACAGGATATTAAAAATGCAAAAACATTATTTTGTGTATATGTGTATGTTCTTTTGTTGTTGTTTTTTTTGTTCAGACTCCCTACTTTTGGCCTTCAAACTGCTGGGAACCAGAGAACACTGATTATGGTGAGAACCACAAATACACACAGAGTTCATCAGCACTGAATTTATACACTTCCTGATTCAATATGGAAGAGAGAAAACAACACTCTGACTTAGCAGCACTGTATTTTAGGTCTAAGCGCATTCTTGTTGTATTTTGGGGTTTTTTTTTTAAGAAAACCATTTTAAATTGATAATTTGTAGATGATATTGTGGATATCATTACAGAAGCGGGAAATTGCATTAAAATGATAATAAACAAGGTTTATTGGCTTTCAACAAGTGTGCATGAATAGCTGCAAATGAAATCAATTCAGCATGACCATTAGGAAGTCCCAGTTATCTCATGGACCAGAAACATCACAGAGCAAACCAGAGAACTGCTCACTGTAGTAAAGTGCAAAAGTATGCACACCCTTGACACAAAATGAAGATGGTAAATAAGGAAACACTTGAGAATGTGCTGTTATATCAAAATCAATGACAAGGTGGTGTGATGCGGCCCAACACAAAGTGGAGTTACAACACTCCACAGTTAATTATTTTCCTATAACAGTACATCCTGAAGTGTTTTATTCCTCCTATGCCACAGCAATTTTCCAATACTAACAATTTTCATTGATTAAAGAAAGAAGTCATAATTTATCCATTTGTAGTTACCTTGACTGTTGAGGAACATCCTTGAAAGAGGTTCTAGTCCCTGTTCTGACTATAAACAGTTGTTCCTTCCTTCCATCCTGAAGTTAGTAAGACAAGAAAAAGCAGTTTGTCACCAAGAAACCGAAAGGTTAAAGCCCTCTGTCCTTATACTTTCAAATGCCATAATAGCCTTAGATTATGTGAACTGTCTACTATTACAAGTTCCTCTTACTATAGAAATGCTAACATATTAGAGCAAACAGATTAATATAAACTTTGCAGCTGGAACTATTGTCTGAGCTGCTATTACAGAAACTAATCAACACCGTCTGACCAATCAGAATGGATAATTCAACAATGCTATTAAGAAATTTATTTTATACCAACAACACATGTAGTGTGTTAGGTTTCATAAATTCAAATTTTATTGGTCACTCACAGCCATACACAGTACAACATGCAGTGAAATGCTTTTTATGACTATTCGTGACATAAAAATAGAATTTACATAAACCAGAATTTACTTATATACAAGTAGAAAAAGGAAAAATATAAAAATATAATATAAAAGATATAAAAGATAGATGGCAGCAACAGTATGGACTATATTTGGAATAAAGTGCAGATATGTGCAGTTTTATGTGCAATGCAATGCTGTGCAACATCAGGCTGAGGTAGTTGCAGTGAAATTGCTAACTATACAATACATTTTTATAAATATAGGGGTAATACAGGTATATTAACAGGAGGTCCCTGGAGGACTAGTGGTTTGCCCACGGTGCTCCCACCGCCACGGCCCGGGTTCAATTCCTGGCCAGGGAACCAACCCCAGCCACTGGGGTTCCACAAGATAGTACCCTCCCAGTGCCGGTCCCAGGCCCGGATAAAATTGGGGAGGGTTGCATCATAAAGGGCATCCGGCGTAAAAACTGTGCCAAATCAAATATGCAGACCAATGATCCGCTGTGGTGACCCCTAACAGGAGCCGCTGAAAGAAGAAGAAGAAGAACAACAGGTATATTAACAGGAATGTAGGGGGTGCAGGGGTTGTGCAAACAAATCCAAGGTCTAGTCCTAGGTGTTGTCCTGGTTGAGGGCCTGAATATCCTGTGGGAAAAAGCTCTTCCTCATTTTCTCTGTGATGGCCTACAGGGAGTGGAAGTGCTTCCCTGGCCACAACAGAGAGAAGAGTCTGTTGTTCAGATGGCTGAGATCCTTCATTATCTTCCTGGCCTTGGTCCAACACCACTTGCTGTAGATAGACTGCAGGTCAGGGAACACAGTGCAGATGGTGTGCTCAGCTGAACGCACCACCTTCTGGAGAGCCGGTCTATCCTGCTTGGTGCTATTCCCAAACCAGGCTTTGATGCTTCCTGTCAGGATGCTCTCGATAGTGCAGGTATAAAAATTCCTTAGTACCTTAGAGGCAGTTTAAAGTCCCCTAACCATCTAAGGTTGTAAAGACACTGACGGGGCCTTCTTCACAAGGGTGTTAATGTGACAGGACCATGACAGGTCTTCCATGATGTGACACCAAGGTATCGGAAACTACTCCACTGGGGCTCTCTCCACTGGGGCCCCTTTTGAATTTAAGGGGGTGGAAGCTCCTCTCCTCTTTCATGCTGAAGTCCACTATCAACTCCTTGCTGACGTTCAGGAGGAGGTTGTTCTCCTGGCACCAGTTCTTTAATCTCCTCCAAGTAGGCCTTCTCGTCATTATCAGGCCCACGACAACAGTGTCATCAGCAAACTTGACAATGGTGGTAGAGTTGGAAGTGGCCACACAGTCGTAATGTACAATGAGTAGAGCAGGGGGCTCAGGACACAACCCTGGTGGGCTCAAGTGCTGAGGGTGAGGGAGGGTGAGACGTGTCTGCCCACCCATACTGCTTGCAGTCTGCCTGTCAGGAAGTTGGAGATCCACTGACACAAGGACAGGCTAAGTCCCAGGTCCTCCAACTTGGTGGTGTTTGAAGGGGATTACAGTGTTAAATGCTGAGCTGTAGTTCACAAACAGTATTTTAGCATAATTTCCCTTCCTGGCGTCCAGATGGCTCAGGGCTGTGTGTAGTAGGTGTGTGATGGCGTCATCTGTAGATCGATTGTGATGGTATGTGAAATGTAATGGGTCCAGGGTGCAGGTAATGAAAAGATGATGAAGTCTCTGACCAGCCTTTCAAAGCCCTTCATCATGACTGAGGTCAGGGCTACTGGGTGATAGTCATCGAGGCAGGCGGCCTGGGGTTTCTTTGGGACGGGAACGATAATGGACTGTGTGCCCTAATTATTACAACACAACTCCACAACCCCTCATCACCCCTAAAATGTTGTACAATTCCACCATTGATTGTGTTGTTAAAGAAGGTAAAAAAGAAAAAAGGAACATCTTTAATGTAACTGTTTTACATATGGTGCAGGGTGTAATACACACTGAATGTTCTCTACTCTTGTACTTTTGTTCTCTGGTGATGTCTGTTCATTACAAACATGGCTTGTAGTCTTGAAGTGTAATCCTTGTCCGACACCTTGGAGTCTCAGAGTAAAATCAATATGTGTGTTTGTGTGTGTGTGTGTGTGGATGTGGGTGAGCTGTAGCATGGCCTGCTTATTGCATATGCACCTATTTGATTTCACTTGTGTCTCAGTATCCTCAGTTTAATTCAATTCAATTTTATTTGTATAGCATTTTAACAGCCATTGTCACTAGGCAGCTTTACAGAAATCAGGATGCAGATATAGATCCCTAATGGCCAAGCCAGAGGCAACAGCAGCAAGGAAAAACTCCATGAGGTGACATGAGGAAGAAACCTTAAGAGAAACCAGATTCAGAAGAGAGCCCATCAAATATTACAATTATACATTATTACTCATCTACACCTTTATACTGTAAAGACAAACTGTGTTTACTGTGTTAGCAGATTGTGAATAAAAGTCCTGAGATGAGCACAGGACAAGCTTTATGATTACAGCAGCAGCTCCTAGGTACAAATCTACAGTATCCAGGGCTCAAGGTGTTTTTTTTTGTTGTTGGTTTTTTTTTTGGAGATGTCCAAATGGGACAGTAGCAGAAGGTGAGTCATAAGCCACAATCTGACGTTCACCGCATCCTGTCTTCAAAGGTTATTAAAGAGTTTTGCTTGGAATAGATAAATGAGATGCTTGCAAGTTTGCTGAAAGGTCTGTGGTTGGACATTTTCAGTGTCAGTCAATGTGCCTCTTCCGGTGAAAGTAGACAGGTCTTGGCCATGTTTAGTTATGAAAAAAACAGAATGTCTCGTGAAAGCTAGAGGTCTGGCTTGTATGACGAATGATGGCTCACCAACAAATGACTCACAAAATACATGCTTAACGTGCCAGTGAGTCAGTGTTTCGATGTTCAACGCTGAACTGGAGGCTACATAAATCTGCGTTTTGAGTGCAGTGACATGTTGGAGTGTCAGCCTTCACTTATTTTGTTAAAAAATAGTTTGTTTTGTTAAAGAATAAATTACTTCATTCTAGATGTACTTATGAGTCAAATAGCTCAAATAGAACAGAGTAAATGACAAGTCATAAAGAGCAACACCAACAACCATTATTTCTGTCATCACTTTCTGACAACTTTTGCTTCACCAGCTGGTAAAAGAAATCATTTTGACAGATTGATTGTTCAATAGCCTTTGTTATGTAAGGAATAAAACACAATGCGATGTGCAGTTATAGGAAAATAACTTTGACAGGGTGGGTGATGCAGCTTGAGATGAAGCAGACTTACTGTTACCACCTAAAAGCATGTCACAAAGTGTTTTATTCCTCTTATACCTCTTATGCCAAAACATTTTTAATTCAATAATGAATGACACATCATACTTTTTAACCAGAGAGTAAAAATACAAGACTATTACTAGAAAGTATTAATAATCTGTTCTTCATTAAGCTCTAAATCTATCTATCTACCTATCTCTCTCTCTCTCTCTCTCTCTCTCTCTCCAGCTGTTTACCTCTGTAAGCGGACGATGCAGAATAAAGCCCGGCTGGAACTTGCTGACTATGAAGCTGTGAGCATCTCCCTTTTCCCTCACGTTTTTCCTCCATGCCTCCTCATCAGCACTTTACTGTGCATTCTTGAGCCTCTGCTCACAGACATTCAATTCCACAGCTTAAAGGTCCTCTTTTTGCTTCTTCTTCTTCTTTTGTTAAAGGATAAAGAGATGTGCTGTGGTGTGCATTTTAACTGTAGTCTTAAACATATTTTTTTTTTTTTTTTTTTGCTGTTGAAATTTGTGAAAACAATACAGGGCTGATTTTACATTATGCATCATAGTCCAGTTGATTGTTGGTCAAAAGGGTTCCTGGATGATCAAAAATAAATCAGTCCAAAAATTTAGTCCATAGTCAAAAGGTAGCATGTCAGATTTATTCAAAAGAGTGCAGCAGAGTGGTCTGTAAAAGATACTGCTGCATTGGTACAACAGGATTATCTGATTTTTGTTTGACCAGGATACAAGATACCTGAATAAGTGAATCACAACAGATTCACTCAGCAGCAGATTCTCACAGCAGATCAGTGTTTGAATAAAAGAATTATTAGTTCATGCCTTTTTTCATGTTTTATGTTTATCTGGTTTTTTTTGTTTGTTTGTTTGTTTGTTTGTTTTTAACGATTGTTGAAGCTGTATTTGCAATTGCAAGCATGCTGAACCATGAGTCACTGAATTATTTTGGTCATAATTGATAGTCATTCTCAGTAGACTCAGTGAGTTCAATGAATCAGGTTAATTCGATCAACTGGAAAGCTCCAGCATACATTATAAAATAATACAAAATAGGAATGATTATTAGCTTTTTTATACTACTCTATCTTGTATGCCTTTAGACAGAGGAATGACCAAGCTGCCACTTTGGGCAAACAAGTGCATATTGATGAAGGAATCTGAACGAATCTTTTAGCCGAATGAACCTCTCAAGCCAACAAAAATGCATCTCACAGCGCAGGGAAATGGCCTTGTAAACTTCCTCTCTCTGTATCCACATGGTTCACGAGGCTTATACATTACATCACTTGGCATTCAGTCAAAAATGAACCCACACTTCAGATATTCGTTTGAATTTTAATCTAATTTAAAATGATTTGATGATAACTATCTCCTGTCTTCTTGCTATCAAAGAAAATTAATTTGTTAAATTAACCCTAAGTCATGATAATTGTTTTTCCTTTAGCTGGGGTGGATTTGTCTTTATGGAGCAACATCTGGAAAACAAAGTCAAAGTCTATAGCAAAGGTCCAAACTGAGGCAAGCAAAGTAAAACCAGGTTACAAGAGGCATATCTACAATCAGAAAATAAAAAGCAGTCAAATCTAACAGAAAACTGAGAAAATGCTGAGGTACATGGCTCATAACTGCAGGCACAAATGCATGACAGAGTTTTTTTTAAGACAAAAGGAAACACATAGAGTTTAAATATGCAAAGTAATATTTTAGTAAATTAGACTCAGTTGAGCAGAATCTGGGAATTAGTCAATGACAAGACAAGGGGGGAAGACCTATTACAAAAAAGGGAACTAAAACTAAATAAAAGCAGATTGCAATGTTGTCTTGAGAGCTGCAATGCAAAACAAAAAGTGAACATGTCATTTCTCAGATAGAAAACTCAAAGGTATTAAAAAAAAAATCACAAATAATCCCTGAGACATACAGTATGAATCAAAAGATATGTGTGCCTGTTTGTGTGTTTCCAGGAAAGTTTAGCGCGGCTACAGAGGGCTTTTGCACGGAAATGGGAGTTTATATTTATGCAAGCAGAAGCACAAGCTAAGTGAGTATGAAAAGCAGGCAAACTCC